AGCGGTTTGGTTAAGAAGGTTGATGGGTGAGCTAAAGCATGAGCAACAAGAAGCCACAATTGTTTACTATGACAATAGTTCCACTATTAAGCTGTCAAGGAATCCAGTTATGCATGGTCGTAGTAAACACATCGATGTTCGATTTCATTTTCTTAGAGAGTTCACACGTGATGGCATAGTGAAGTTACTGCACTGCAAAACTCAAGAACAAATAGCTGATATCATGACAAAGCCTTTGAAGCTTGATGTGTTTCTAAAGCTTTGAGATATGCTAGGAGTCTGTTCAAATTCAATAAACTGATCTTCTATGGAAATCAGTTTAAGGGAGGATGTTAAGGAGTGTGGTTATGTGCTTGACTGGTTGTTCCTACTTTGTGGGGATTAATATTCCTGTTTGTTAATAACTCCTATTAGTTAGAGAGCCTGANAATCAATGATGACTGAATTCGATATGTCGGATCTTGGTAAAATGAGGTATTTTCTTGGCATTGAAGTGCAACAAAGGAAGGATGGAATCTTTCTCAGCCAAAAGAAATACACACAGGAAATACTTGAAAGGTTTGGTATGAGAGATAGCAAGCTTGTGCGCAATCCGATAGTTCCTGGCTTCAAGTTGGTACAAAATGCAGATCGAACAAAAGTAGACAGTACTGTGTATAAACAGATTGTGGGGAGCCTAATGTATCTAACCGCAATAAGACCAGACATCATGTTCTCAACGAGCCTTATCAGCAGGTACATGGAAAGTCCAACACAAATGCATCTACAGGCTGCCAAAAGAATTTTACGTTATCTGAAAGGAACCATTGATTTGGGCATATTCTATAAGAAGCGAGGAAATTTGAATCTTGTTGCTTACACAGATAGCGATTATGTGGGTGACCTGGAGGACAGCAAAAGTACATCTGGTTATGTGTTTATGTTAAGCTCAAGTGCAGTTTCATGGTCCTTAAAGAAACAATCAGTTGTGACTTTATCCACCATAGAGGCGGAATTTATTGCAGCGGCAGCTTGTTCATGTCAAGCGGTTTGGTTAAGAAGGTTGATGGGTGAGCTAAAGCATGAGCAACAAGAAGCCACAATTGTTTACTATGACAATAGTTCCACTATTAAGCTGTCAAGGAATCCAGTTATGCATGGTCGTAGTAAACACATCGATGTTCGATTTCATTTTCTTAGAGAGTTCACACGTGATGGCATAGTGAAGTTACTGCACTGCAAAACTCAAGAACAAATAGCTGATATCATGACAAAGCCTTTGAAGCTTGATGTGTTTCTAAAGCTTTGAGATATGCTAGGAGTCTGTTCAAATTCAATAAACTGATCTTCTATGGAAATCAGTTTAAGGGAGGATGTTAAGGAGTGTGGTTATGTGCTTGACTGGTTGTTCCTACTTTGTGGGGATTAATATTCCTGTTTGTTAATAACTCCTATTAGTTAGAGAGCCTGATTTGTTTTTGACCTATTCATTAGGCACTAGTTAAGTCCATGATTTATGTGGACTCTGTTTCTTTTCCTCTGGTTGTAAGGCTATATAAGCCCAGTTGTTCTTTGTTAAAAAATAAGAGAAAACATTCTCCCATTCTTTCACGTTTAAGCATTATTTCACTTGTACACCTGACAGTCACACATTCAAAACACACCGGCAAACATAGCAACAGTGCCCTTAACAAAATCCCTTTTTGTATTATTGTGGGGAGACAGTATGCATGCATATTTATTGCCAATTCACCCGCGCACCACACAGTCACACACTCAAAACACACCAACAAACCCAGCAGCAGTGCCCTTAACAAAATCCCTTTTCATGCATCGTTGTGGGGAGATGGTATGCATGCTTATTTTTTGCTATGTGAGAGTGTGTTTGAGGGTGAAGAGAGAAGATTAGACGAAGAAAAAGATGGGAAGCAAACCAACAAAAAATTGATTGGGACCCATAGTTAATCTAATAACAGAGAATAATAAAGTCACTAAGTAAGGTATATGTAGTATTGCTCTTAAATTATTTTTTATTTACGGCTCATCTGTATATCATTCAATTTATAGAGAACTAATGTTATAAGATAAAATACGACAGAATTCAATAAGTCTATCCGACGATTTTAAATAGACTCATCCAACGGTTATCAATATTCTTTTCAAAATCATTCACACTTAATTATAGGAAAATTATAGGGAAGTGTATAATGAGATATTAAAATTATAGAAAATATTATTTATACCCAATTTAGTAACTTTATTTGATGACATGATAAATTATATTTATTGAATTGAGAATGAATCTCAAATAAAGTTAATCTAATGATAAAGAATAATAAAATCATAAAATAAAATCACTAAATAAGTTAGATGTAATATTGCTCTTAATTATTCTCTATTTATGGCTCATCGTATATCATTCAATTTATAGAGAATCAATGAAAATATGACACACATCAAAAAAGTTAATAAATTATGTACAAATAATATTTTTCATAATTTTAATCTCTCATTATACATTTCACTAGAGGTAACTCGTACCTAAAGTCACAATACAATATAAATAATTTTGAGATAAATATTAATAACTATTGAATGAATTTATTTAATACTGTTGTCGAATGAAAATTGGGATATGTTAAATAATATTTTTTTAATTGTATTAATATTTTTCCATGAGATTATACCAAGAACATGATTAGTCTATTTTTTTAAGATTTTCACTCTCTTTCTAACTGTGCATGCGATTTGGTGAAAAATTTTGTAATGGTGGATTTAACGAATACCTTTGCAGATTAGTCCGAAAATATTGGGAGCTAACTGCTTGTGCTTGCCGAATGATAAGTTCATTGAAAAATACCTTATTTTATATTATAATTATAAATAACCAACAGCCAAGTCAGCTTGTAGCATGTATCTTTTCCATTTTTGAACACCAAACAAGACCAAGGCGTACAAATGGCCAGCTCACCTGTGTTAGTCTCCGACCACCTTCACCGGCCAATTCCCAATCGTGGTGTCACTTTCCGGCGAATCACCACCACTAAAGCCACCGGACGTTTTCTCTCTCCTCCAAAATATTCCAATACTAGAAGTTTATTGGTAGTTAAAACTGAGAGAAAATGCAAGTGGGTCGTAGGTCTGAGTTCGGTGGAGCAAAGCCCGTCAAAGTCAACGGTGGGTATAAAACAGTTGATGGACTTCTTGGATGAAGAATTTCCACGTCTTTTCGATGATCAAGGGATTGATTGGTCGTTCTACGATGAATGTTTCAAGTTTCGGGACCATGACACCATTACTGGCTAATCAGTTTAACTTAGCCCTCTTGAAGATTCTCTTCAGCCCTGAGTTTCAGTTGCACTGGGTCAAACAGGTATGTGTGTGTGGGTGTGAGAGAGAGAGATATATAATTATCAGTTAAGGATGGCAAAGAACATTACAATGTTAGGATGGATTCAAAATATCAAAATTTTATTTCGGTTCATATTTTGGATCAGTTTGAAACTGAAACATATTACCTAATCAAAGTCCGGAGACAAAGAAAAAATTTAAAAATTTACTTGTAAAACATTGAATTTTGATATATTTTTTTTAAAAAAATGTTTTGAAATTTAGTTCCTTGGATGAAATATAACTAAATTAGGGGGTTTTTTTTGACCCCATTTTTACTTTTTTTTGTTCCTTGATCTATGTAAGAGGCTCAGTTAAACAGTAACCATAAGTGATCTAGTTATCTTTTTTTGGCCCACATTTTTACTTATTGGTCTGGTGAAAGTCTTCCTTCAAAACTAAGTCGTAATAACAAAAAGAAAGCAGGCCTGTCGCTTTTTTATCTCGCATTTCCACTTCTAGATGGTGGAACAACACCAAGAGGAGTGATCTTTTAGGTTTAGGAAGCAAGAAGAACAGTGAAGGTTGCCCGTATTAAGTCCTTTCACTTTCCTGTCCCTATCTAGTCCACCAGCCAAGCTCAATGAACTGGTAAATCCAACTTTGATGCCAATATGTTAATGTGTGTATTTTGTTCAAGATGTAATTTCTTACAATTTGCCTTCTCATATGCTCAGCTTTGTGATGGTATAATTAGCTTTCCAATTCAATCTAAACCTTCAGCACCGTACTATTGGAGTCACAATTAAATTTCAGGACATGTCCTTGGTACTTTTGTGGTTCATAAGCGGTCGCTTTGGTCATACAATCTGTATCTTGCTTCTTAGACTGATTGAGTTCCTGTAGGCAGGGCCTTATGAAATAACTACTAGGTGGACTGCGGTACTGAGGTTCATTCTTCTACCATGGAAACCAGAATTGGTCTTCACGGGGACGTCTGTCATGGGCATCAACCCCTCAACAGGGAAGTTTTGCAGCCATGTGGTATGATCTTTCACCTGTTCCCTAGCATTAGAAGCATGTTATATTAGCATAGTTAGTGTTAGTGGTTTATTCTTTCCGTTTCTCTTTTCGCTCTTGTGCTATTGTTGTAGGACTATTGTGATTCTATAGAGAACAATGGCTACTTTTCCTTAGAAGGTTTACGGGATGTAATCAAGCAGGTAATTATTAAGTAATACTCCAAAATTGTGCATCACAATCTAGAATCACATCTTATATGCTTAACTCAACTCAACAAAGTCTTGTTCCGACATATTTTCTGTCAACTACAAGAATCGCTTCTTATATTCATATTGGTAAGTGTTGCAGCTGTGGATCTACAAGACTCCTGACTTGAAAACTCCCAAATGTCAGATACTGAAGAGGACTGCAGAGTATGAGGTTTGTTAGTCTTTTCATGGAATCGTGGTTGTAGCATTCATCTATTTATTCATGCCCCTTCAACATGCTCATCAAGCTGACTGTAGGATTTGCCTTCTTCTCTTCTTCATGCCTCACTGCTCTTGGTTATGCTCTTAAAATCATAGGACTAGACAAATTGTGACGTTCTGCTAAGAATTTCTATCAAATTCATGGCTAGAACCAGAACATCTTTCGCAACATTGTATAGGCTTGACCCAATTTCCAAAATGAACAGGTGAGAAAGTACACCCCATTCATTGTTGTAGAAACAGATGGTGACAAACTGGCTGGATCCACCGGCTTTAACGCTGTTCCTATGTGACTTTGATGAGTCCATATCAATTGTGTCCCGTCTTGGTCTTGCCATTCTTGCTTATTTTTTCTTTCTTACTCAGATTTTCCAGTTTACCATATCCCAATCAAGAAGCAGTTAGGTTGAGGAAAGTCGAAGGAGGCATTGCTGCAGTATCAAAGTTCACTGGAAAATTTAATGAAGATATTGTTCTTGAGAAAGAAAAAGCACTTCGGTCCTACCTTATTAGAGACAGTCTTAAACCAAATTTAGGTTGTTTGCTCCATCGTTTCAATGATCCTGGCCGAACATGGAGCTCCACAACGGTATGAACAGAATTCTTTCAAGTGTTCCTCTAATAAGTGTTTTGTTCCACTCTTTTCCTTTCAAAATGCATTCTGAATCTTCAAACAAACTAATTTATCTTTCCCATTGACAGAAAAAAAAAACATAGTGCATACTTTGGTAGAGTTCGGTGTCTCTATATTGCGACCTTGATTGATGAGATGGTGTTTGCATTTTAGAGTGATGAACATAGACAGACTTCTTCTTTCTACTCTAACCCAAATCACGCAAGCAGCAATGTCTCCAATCTCCTTCTTTAATGATATCTTCATATAGTTTATCGTTAAAGTTCCATGAATCTGGAGTTCGTAGCATGCTGATCTTAATGACAGCTCCATCACAGTGCAGTGACATAATCCTTTTAATGCCATGTTTGATTTTGAGCATTATATGGAAAGTGGAAACATCTCATACTCTCTGTACTGATTCGACATCAACAAGTATCATTGAATTTCTTCTACTATCTATATTAATAAAACAGAGCGTCTTACTTTAGATCCTTATATATATTTCTTCTTGATCATTCTCAATGTTTTATCAGCAGTTCTCTACTCTTACCTGCTGATCTTGTCTTTTTTTCTTATTCTTTTTGTTGTGTTTTTGGGTTGCAATGAAGAGGCATTAAGTGCTTATATGGCTCGACGATTTCGCGTTCAATTGATGCACTGTTGATCAATCTTGACTCCCCTTCTCAAAATTGAAGAGATTTCATCCTTAGCTAAATTGTTATCACTTGAAACTAGTAAGAAAACTACAAAGACAATCTCATTTCAAATGTGAAGTGAAGTTGTTACATTGAGCTATCTTGTTTTTTTTTCTCCCCTTTTCATCTTATGTTTCTGTACTCATCCTAGTTCTTGCTATTTTGATGCAAAGTGTGCAGTTTGCACATACCAGTAAGTTGATTTCATATATGTTCACAAGAAATCCTGTAATCAACAGTGTGGTATACGGATGTAACCTCTACAATCACTTTGTGAGGGTCAAATGCATACAGGTTTACGCTTGCATGCGACACAATAAAACAACTTTACTGTTAAATTAAGACACTCTTTTTCATAATTCGATTTATATAATTATTCACATGATCTACAAATATGTTTTTTTAGAAGTTATGCAATCATATTTTATTGGATACTAGCCACAATCCCATGCATGAAGATACTAGGTAATTTTAAAAATCAAATATTAATTTTGTAATATTTATATTTTAAATAGGAGTTTAATTTTTTTTAAATTAAGCAGTTTAAAATTAAAAACGAGTGAGCAAGCTGAAGAGAAGCAGGGCACTTTGAATTATGAGTAATGGTCGTTCAACTAAAAAATGGGACAAAAAATAATAATCAGATGATGTGATATTATCATAATGACAAAAAAATTAAATTTTAAATTTATAAAAGAAGGACCAATAATACCATTACAATAATCCCATACTATTTAATTCCTATTTTTGTGTCATTTTTTAATTAATCTAGTATTGTATTCTTAAATTATAGTGCTATGATGACTTATTTACCCATGCCCAAATGTGTTCATACTATTCACCGAATGTGAGCATTTAAAACAGCATATTTTGTTTTAACATTTTCTAATGAGTAATGTCACATTTTGAAAAAAATGTAGAAGGAAAATGCATATAAATTAAATATATAAGGGCATTTATTCAATTTTATTTAATATTATAAAATTCACTCCAAAAATGATTTTCTCGTTTAAAAGAACATTATTTTCTTTATACGATTTTCAATGCTACACGACGCAATCAACACACTCTCTGATATTAGATAACTCCATTAACATACATCTTCCTCTCCATTTTCTCTCCTACCTCTCCTCATTTTCTTTTTTTTCTTTTTTGTCACTCTTATTTTAAATTACATAATAAAAAATAAATTATTATTTAAAATATAAAGATCAATACTTGATTTTTAAGATTACAAAATTTTTTCAATCACAAGTAATTCCTAGTTTATTTCAATTCCCTTTTCATCTCTCTTACTGATCGAACTTCGGGCCGATAATCGAAACGAGTTACTCGGGCTTGACTCGAATTTAACGTATAGAACTTGGCTCGTGTTTCAAAATTATCCGAGCTTAAGAAATAGTTTAAATTTATTTAGAAAAATTAGCCTAAAAAATTCGATTCAAACTCACAAAATTCGTTTTATTTATATGTAAAATTAGAGTTAATTTCAATGTCGAGAACTGCAAGGTGGAGATGGATCCTCTAGGTGCCATTATTTGTGACATTCAATGTGAGGCGAAATAGTTTCGAATTTTTAAGGTGTCGAGAGTCATCCGGTCAGAGAATCAAGTAGCCCATGAATTATTTCGTAATTTTATTTCTTTAGATAGCAGTATTGTTTGGTTGGAACAAATACCAAATTTTATTATGTATGTGCTTATTTTGGATATTCTAATTAATAAGAATTTCTATCGTTTCTTTTAACAAAAAAGCAGTCGAGTTACATATGATGAACTCATTTGTTAAATGAGTCAAATTTAAATAATTTTTTAAATTTATCTTAAAAAACGAACTCAACAAATTCAATTTAAACTCGCAAGATTCAACACTACTGCCCATCCTAAAAGTACCATTAAAATTATTCTCAAGTTGATTTGTTCACATGTACCCAGAATCCTAAAGAACTTGTTTGGATGAATTTTGAGGAGGAGTTTGAATTGACTTTTTCAAATCTTTTCAAATTCAAACCTTTATGAAATTCAACATTCAATTCGATTGATACTGATGTTTGGTATATAACATATACACATATAGAACCTACATATATATCATACTCCCTCCGTTCTTAAATATCTGTCATTTTATACAATTTTTTTTATTCTATAATATCTGTCGTTTAATGAAACCAAAACATAATAAATATTTTTTATTTCAAATTTACTTTTAACTTTTCAATGCATTAGATTATGTGAAGGTTAAGTATTTTTCTTATTCCTTTNTATTCACCGAATGTGAGCATTTAAAACAGCATATTTTGTTTTAACATTTTCTAATGAGTAATGTCACATTTTGAAAAAAATGTAGAAGGAAAATGCATATAAATTAAATATATAAGGGCATTTATTCAATTTTATTTAATATTATAAAATTCACTCCAAAAATGATTTTCTCGTTTAAAAGAACATTATTTTCTTTATACGATTTTCAATGCTACACGACGCAATCAACACACTCTCTGATATTAGATAACTCCATTAACATACATCTTCCTCTCCATTTTCTCTCCTACCTCTCCTCATTTTCTTTTTTTTCTTTTTTGTCACTCTTATTTTAAATTACATAATAAAAAATAAATTATTATTTAAAATATAAAGATCAATACTTGATTTTTAAGATTACAAAATTTTTTCAATCACAAGTAATTCCTAGTTTATTTCAATTCCCTTTTCATCTCTCTTACTGATCGAACTTCGGGCCGATAATCGAAACGAGTTACTCGGGCTTGACTCGAATTTAACGTATAGAACTTGGCTCGTGTTTCAAAATTATCCGAGCTTAAGAAATAGTTTAAATTTATTTAGAAAAATTAGCCTAAAAAATTCGATTCAAACTCACAAAATTCGTTTTATTTATATGTAAAATTAGAGTTAATTTCAATGTCGAGAACTGCAAGGTGGAGATGGATCCTCTAGGTGCCATTATTTGTGACATTCAATGTGAGGCGAAATAGTTTCGAATTTTTAAGGTGTCGAGAGTCATCCGGTCAGAGAATCAAGTAGCCCATGAATTATTTCGTAATTTTATTTCTTTAGATAGCAGTATTGTTTGGTTGGAACAAATACCAAATTTTATTATGTATGTGCTTATTTTGGATATTCTAATTAATAAGAATTTCTATCGTTTCTTTTAACAAAAAAGCAGTCGAGTTACATATGATGAACTCATTTGTTAAATGAGTCAAATTTAAATAATTTTTTAAATTTATCTTAAAAAACGAACTCAACAAATTCAATTTAAACTCGCAAGATTCAACACTACTGCCCATCCTAAAAGTACCATTAAAATTATTCTCAAGTTGATTTGTTCACATGTACCCAGAATCCTAAAGAACTTGTTTGGATGAATTTTGAGGAGGAGTTTGAATTGACTTTTTCAAATCTTTTCAAATTCAAACCTTTATGAAATTCAACATTCAATTCGATTGATACTGATGTTTGGTATATAACATATACACATATAGAACCTACATATATATCATACTCCCTCCGTTCTTAAATATCTGTCATTTTATACAATTTTTTTTATTCTATAATATCTGTCGTTTAATGAAACCAAAACATAATAAATATTTTTTATTTCAAATTTACTTTTAACTTTTCAATGCATTAGATTATGTGAAGGTTAAGTATTTTTCTTATTCCTTTCCTTCTCAATACGTATTGAATAAAAATATTTTAGTCTTGTATAATTATTTTTTACTTATATTAAAGTTATTTAATAATTTTCTTAATTCTTGTGCAAAAATCTTAAACGACAGATATTTAGGAACAGATAAAGTAATTATTGACAACTATTTATCTTTTAAATGACTATTTTATTCTTAATTAATTCAATTCACATTCATGTTAAAAAGTATAATTGTCAATTGGATCCTTAACCTTTAACCCATTTTTCCAAACAAACCCTCCCCTAAATTTGACGAAACCTAGGATCATGAATTTAATTTTCGAACCAACTATAGGCCGAGTTTAAAAATTAGGAACCGAATATTTCAAACAAACATAAAACTTGACAAAACTATGAACTATTTTTATTAAATCCATCTCGACAACGCCGTACCTTTTTACCGAGCAGCCCCAAGTGTTGGATACAACTTTTCTTAAATTTGGCAATTGAGGGAGACACGATGAGAGAGAATGACACCGTAAACTTTGATTATAGTGATGAGTAATATTAGATAAATTTAAAAATTAAATTTGATAATCTCAATTATAAAATATATAGTGGGTTCAATAAATATTGAAACTCATAATAAAATTAATGATTAAAATTACTAAATTTAATTTTTAAATCTAATTTTTAAATTCACGTAACGTTGCCCTAATAGTCGAAAAGTCTTCTAGTTTCCAAGTCAGTGGGCTCTCTCACTCTCTCCATCAATCTCTGTATCTATATATATCTGCAGGACGCGCAGTATTGGCCATTCGAATCCATGGCATCGCATGTTACTCTCACTCTTTATATATTCCCACTACGCCTCCCGAACATTTTCTAATTATATAGTTCACTTATATTATCAGAATTTTTTATTTCCAATTGTGTGTGTTTCTCCATCCTACATCATAGATAGAACCTCCATTTGTCTTGCTCTTTCTCTTTCATTCTCTGAGGAGACGCGAGAGATCTGCGGTTTGATTCGCCATCAAGGTCAGTTTCTTGATCTGCGTTTTGCTTAAATTCCCTTCCTGTAAATTAACTTCATGTATTTGCTTCGAATACTTGTTCTTGATGTGAATTTTGATCTGGATTTTTGTTTTTTCAAGTTTGTGTGTGGAATCTTTATAGATGCACGAATAATTCTTTTCTTGGTGCGAATATTGATCTGGGCTAGGGGTGTTCTTCCTATCCTACCGATAAAAAATATGGTCTTTCAGCTTCCTTTTTGATATTTTATGGAAGAATTTTTTCTTAACTTACCTACCCGATTAAGTGTGATATTCTTACGCAACTTCTGATCAAATTAATTGGGTAAAAAGGCGGATAAAAAATCGGGTGACCACTTTTATAGTTATTAATTTTTGAATCATTTTAACAATTTAATTAAATAACATACACTAATTTAACAATACAATAAATCAATAACACTAAAATCTAAAACAATTACAATAACAATTATAATAAAACACAAGAAAAGATAAATATCAATCCATCATATTGTTGTACAAATATAATAACAATTATTTTAAATTTAAACTATATGGTTAAGAAATTAGAGTTTTTAGTTTATATATATATATACAAATTAATACAGGTAGAATAGGGTAGGAATACAAAAATTAATGACTAATCCGTATTCTTATCCGATTTAATTGAAAGACCAGTAACTCTTCTATATTACTACCCGATTTTTTCGACGAGTTGTTACATAGGGTCGGGGTAGGATAGAAAATTATGACTAATCAAAAATTTGAACACATCTAATCTGGGCTTTGAGTGGTCCCCATTTTTTTTTCAGCAATGCATCCCCTTATATTATGCATGAACTTTGAAAGGTTTGTTTTGATGTGAACTTTGATTTGGGTATTGTGAGTTCTAGGTGAATTTGATCTATAAAGGATCAAGAAAGGACCTTTTGAGTGATAATACCTTCAAAAAAGTACAAACCCCAGTTTTCTGTCTTTGTGAGATGTGTTTGATTTATATGGAATTCTGGTTTTGAGTGAACTACATTATAGCAGTTCTACAAGAAAATTAGACCTAGATTGGGTTAACCAATTGAGATTGCCATGGGATCTTATCTTTTCCCTTTTCCCTTTTCCCCCTCCTGGGGTTGGGGGGAAAGTTTCATTTAATGTGGTTCACAAAAAAGGATCTTTTTAAGCATCTCCAATCATAATTTAAATTTAAATTTAAATTTGAATAAAAAACTAGATTTGATATAAAACACTCCAATACGTAAATTCAAATATTTTAAAAAAATTCCTTAGTCCCATAGCTCATTTTTTTTTTTTTAAATTTTCCAACCAAAACATTTTATCCAATATTAAAACTTGTTTCTTATAAACTTCACTAATATTAACCGAAAGAAATGACAAAAATATCAACCTCTTTGAGTGGTAGATTCATAAATTTTTTAACGAGTATAACAAATGAGAGAGAATGAGAGAGAGAAAAGGTAAAAAGAGAGGGAGTAAAAAGTTATCGTCGAATACTAGGCGGTGTGGTCGGTGGCGACGATAATAGTGTGGTCCGTGGCAATGGCAGCAGTGTGGTTGGTGACAATGACGGTAGTGTGGTCAGCGACGATGATAGTGACTTGGAAGATAGAAGCAAAAGAGGTTAGAACTTGTTCCGTCAAATGAGTCTTTTTGGGTTTGAACAAGAAAAAAAGTTACCGTTGAAAATTTAATATAGGATTTGAGTCTCCCTCAATTTGAATTCAGAATAAGTGTCTAAGGTTGGAAAATTTTTTTAGGTCATTTTGAGTCAAATTTAAATTTGAGTCAGAGTTGTAGATACTCTAATAGCATGTTTTTGAGAAACTGTAATTAATAGCATGTTTTGCTTTTGTTTTACGGTTATTAATTTCATGGTATGCTCAACTGCTAGCTCTTCTTTCTTCCCCCCCTTCTTTCTTTTTTCGTTTTATATGATCTTATTCATTTGGTGACTAGATTTTCACTGTAGTCTTTCATTGAATTAGGTTTCCACCATTCCTTTGATTTTCTAACAGGGAGAAAAATGATGGAACCAAAAGTGAACACTCCATTGATGCCGCCATCATCACAGAAGCTCCCAGATTATCAGAAATCAGTCAAGCTGAAAATATGTTATGCTTGGCTATCATTACCTTATAACTCATGGAATGTTCCTCTTCCTTTCCCCTCTTGTGGTCATAATTGCTGCTCAAATCTCAACATTTTCTATCCAAGATCTATATGATCTTTGGGATAACCTCCAGTATAACCTTATCTCTGTTATCCTCTGCTCTTCTCTTCTAGTTTTTATATCCACCATCTACTTCCTCACTCGTCCCCGCCCTGTTTACCTGGTGGACTTCTCATGCTACAAGCCCGATGAAGCTCGAAGGTGCACGATGAAGATATTTGTGGATCAGTCTCAGTTAACTAGTGCATTTACAGAGGAGAATCTTGCATTTCAGAGAAAGATACTTGAAAGATCTGGCCTTGGGGATCACACTTACCTTCCTGAGGCTGTCATGAATATGCCTCCAAATCCATCGTTGAAAGAAGCTAGAAAGGAAGCCGAGGCAGTGATGTTCGGGGCCATTGATGAACTTCTAGCTAAGACCTCTGTAAGACCCAAAGACATTGGAATCATAGTTGTGAATTGTAGCTTGTTCAATCCAACCCCATCTTTATCTGCCATGATTATCAACCATTACAAGCTTCTAGGAAATATCGTTAGCTACAATTTAGGTGGCATGGGCTGCAGTGCAGGTCTAATATCAATTGATCTTGCTAAAAAACTTCTTCAGGTCCATCCTAACTCATATGCCTTGGTTGTCAGCATGGAAAATATCACTTTGAACTGGTACTTTGGGAATGATCGGTCAAAACTTGTTTCAAATTGCTTATTTCGAATGGGTGGGGCTGCAGTGCTGCTTTCTAACAAATTTTCTGAGAGAAGAAGATCCAAATATCGATTGGTGCACACTGTCCGCACGCACAAGGGCGCTGATGATAAGTGCTTTGCCTGTGTGACCCAAGAAGAGGATTCCAATGGAAAGGTTGGTGTTTCTTTGTCTAAGGAGCTCATGGCTGTTGCTGGTGATGCTTTGAAAACCAACATCACTACATTGGGTCCTCTTGTTCTGCCCATGTCTGAACAATTACTCTTCTTTGCCACATTAGTTGGGAGAAAGCTTCTCAAGATGAAGTTCAAGCCTTATATTCCAGATTTTAAGCTTGCTTTCGAGCATTTCTGCATCCATGCGGGAGGAAGAGGTGTTTTGGATGAAATAGAGAAGAACATGCACCTTTCTAACTGGCATATGGAGCCTTCGAGGATGACACTCTATCGATTCGGCAATACCTCTAGCAGCTCACCGTGGTATGAATTGGCTTATACAGAAGCCAAGGGTAGAGTGAAAAGGGGAGACAGAGTATGGCAGATAGCATTTGGGTCAGGGTTCAAATGTAACAGTGGAATTTGGAAAGCTTTGAGGACCATAAAGCCAGCAAAGGAGAAGAACCCATGGATGGCTGAGATTGACATGTTTCCGGTGGACGTTCCAAAGGTGGCGACCATCTGAAATGGTTATTTCACATTCTTGGTGGTTTCAGCAATCGTTGTTCATGATTCTGGAGTAGGGTTGGGCTTTCTTGTTTCGGTTGTAATGGTGTTTGAAGTTGCTCTAGTTTTGCCTTTTCGAGGATTGCCATGAGGCCAACTTCTTGATAATATAATTTGGTCTCTTCAGCTGGGAACATGGAGATTTTTGACACTACGGGTTCACGGATTACACATGTCAATCCAAACACAACATGAACATGATGTAACCCAAAATGACACAAATACATGTCCAGCACAACTACATCAGAACCCAGATTGGATATGGCCAACCATTTAGAAACATAAATGCATGTCAATGCTACTAATTCTAGTAGAAAAAGAAACTTTATCCACAAGCAAGCAAGCAGAAGAAACCACTGCCCTGTGCAAGCTATTCTTTGGATGACTTGTTGATGAGCGACTTGTGGATGTGCGGAATCACACCTCCACCAGCAATGGTTCCTTTGATCAGGGTGTCAAGTTCTTCATCACCTCGAATTGCAAGCTGCAAATGTCTTGGAGTGATACGTTTCACCTTGAGATCCTTGCTCGCATTCCCAGCTAACTCCAACACCTCTGCTGTCAAATACTCCAAGATAGCTGCAGAATAGACAGCCGCGGTGGCTCCCACTCTCCCATTTGCCATGGTTCTTTCTTTCAGTAGACGATGGATCCGACCAACAGGAAACTGCAGGGTATAAACATTAATGCATTAAAAATTACTGCATGGAACTCCCTGGTCATGCATGTAACAATTGTTTAACTTAGAATCTAAGAGGATTGCTTTCATACAAGAACCAAAATGATGACTAATGATAAAAGGGAGCTCGAGGCAGCAACATTAAAGAAACAACGGACCAGCTTTAGATAGAATTCGTGGCTAGGATAGACTTATTAGCCACCCCCATAAATAAAAAATAAAAAATGATATAGAAAAAATATTATTGAGACTACAAGATGGCAGTAGCTAACAGCCTCTATGAGATGTACAGGAACAGAATCGCCACATGACTACACCATCTCACTCAGAAATGCTTTCTTGCTCATAGAATGCCGTTTTCTAACCAGCCTTCAGTCACAATATCCTTGTTTCAATATTGTTTATATGTAAAAAGAGGAATTATTTAATACCCATAGTTCAGTATGTTGTTTATATTATGCTTAATAACCACCCAATTAGGATTGTACCAAACATATCTTTATGTTCAATACATCAAAACTAGAAACCATTAGACAAGTACACTAAATGCCTAAACCACCAATGCGCAATAGTAATGAAATCACACAAACATTGAAAAAAAAAATCAATAGTGTTTACTCTATGTTGTAAACCTAATTAAAGCCAAATGAATTAAGAACCCACCAATCATTTATACAATTAAAAAAGAAAAAAAGAAAAAAAAATCCTTACTGTTCCTTTTTATTTCATTGGCCCTTAATACACATTCACCTCTCCATGCATGTTGCAAAAAGCTAATCTGGTTTGCTTGCAAACTATTCTGATACTAACACACAACATCAATGTAATCCCTATCCAATGACAAGATGGCCAGCAGTCTAGTTCAGAAGAGGATAGGTCCTTAGATTTTTCCAGTATTCCCCGGAGCTACACAATGTACGGCTCTCGTGGTGCGTGTGGGTCATGTGGGCATCAAAGATGTCGAGACACCCTTGTCATAAAAACAATAGAAAAATCTAATCGATTAATCCTAACTACATAAAAGTAAAACAAGAAGCACTCCAATATTAGAATACTACTTATAATCCGTGCTTGAAAAAAGGATAAAATTTTTAAATAATAAAATATAAAATTTAAGAGTCCAAAAAATTATTTTCTCACTATATTAAATTTTTTTAACATGTATATATTATTATATATGAATAATATTTGAAATAAAAATTATATTAATTATAAATTAATTAAATATATGATAAAAATAAGTGATGTGATATTTTTAAGAAAGAAATATATAAATAATTAAACATGTAATAAAAATGAATGATACAATTTAACGTTTGAGTCTGACAGAGGAATGATTAATGAGATAAGTGATTAGTGATGATTTTAAGGAAAAAATATGATTGGGATAAAATTTAAAATATAAACTATTTTATTATATAGATGTATAAAAAAAAAATAAAAGACTATATTACCGTAGGTTTATGGAGGGTGTCTTCCCAACCTTCCACTTTAGGGTTAGAACATAACACTGAAATGATATGTTTAGGTAACGTAACATTCTTTCGTCCAATCAATACGACACCCAACAAATTTTATTATTTTATCTTATTTTATCATTTTCCTAATCAATACTATAAATAACTAAAACTAATATGTATGATTTAAATAATTTTGTGTATAGTACCCAAAAGTAAACTTTGGTTACCATATTATTATCCCACACTTTATAGCTTTCACTTCAATAGTCTTAGTTTTTTTTTCTTTTTTTTTTTTTTAAAATTATAAGTTAACTTACGGTAGCAATCTAAACATTATTTATGATAATGATTATATTTTGCATAAGCACTTCGCGTAACAAAAACTATTCTCATAATCGACATGCAATTTATATACAGTCCAACCTCCATCGGCAAAGTCATAGAAAAAAGAGGTGATTGCACATAAAGAGCGTGAGAAAGAGGAAGGAACCTGGAGACCAGCACGAGAAGAGCGAGAAGTGGGTTTCTTCTTGTCTTTGTCTTTGTTGTTGTTGTTGGCAGCTGCTGTGGTTTTGCCCGTAATTAAACCCTTTGCGCCTTTCCCCGACATCTTCTCCACCCAAAATTTGGTTCTACCAACTAGGAATTTGATCCAGAAGGGCTTCAATTGACGGAGACAACGCAGCTGGAGAGAGAGAGAGAGAGAGAGAGAGAGTCGAGAGGGGTCAGGCAGAGGAAAGTAGTTGGGGTTTAGCCGCAAGAAGTAACTAAGCATAAAAGTCAATGACAGAAGTACCCTCTCCGATTCTCTAAATTGCTGAGCATTTTCTGTACCTTTGTGAGCAAGTCTACATCAGGTGTACATGCGTAATTTCAAAAGGTATATATAAACTCTGGGGGTGTCAATATTTTTTCGACCCACGAACTCAATTCGAACCAAACCCAATACAAATTTAAAAAAAACACAATTAGTTGACACAATAATAAATTGGTCAAATTAAATTTCAACACAAAGACGATTAATAGGTACCGTAGATATAAAATAATTATTTAACGAATATTATATTTTTAAATAAAAATTTTATAATTTTTTTATAATTTTTTAAATAATATTATATTAATTGTTATCAAATTAAATAATTTTTTATTAACACGAACCCGACACGTACCGAAAAAACTCAAGACACGAAAATAACACATTCGAAAATGGCACGAAACGAAACCTAGATTTATTCTGTAAATCTAGGTTACACTTGGACCCCTAATAAACTCCATTGAAGAAAGTAAGATCACACTTAGATCCCTGAATTATGCCCCTCTGTTCACATTATCCTCTAAATTATTCACTTTATCAAATTATAGCCTAGACTATTAATTTGAATTTACATTGCCCCAATCATGAACTTTTATTCTATTTTTTATGGAAAAAAAACTATTTTTGTCCTGATTTATTATAAAAATTAGAATAGAGTTAACGATTGGAATCATGTGAAACTAAGATTAATAACTTCAGGTGCAAATATAAAAAAACAGATAGTTTAGGCGATAATGTAAAAAAAGGGACATAATATAAGGGTTACAAATATAATTTGCTCTCGTGGCAGCATAAAAGTGAAAACTTGCGTTTTAGTCTGTCGACCTTTTGAACCCGTGGGTTCATCTACTGGGATCTTGTTGACTCGTTGGAGTCGGTAACGGGTTGAGCTCAACAGCCGACCAGTCAACGCACCGAATATACTTGGGCTATGCTGTTGACTGGTCAACTGGATAGGCCCGGTGCAAAAACAAGCCTATGATCTATGTTTTGGGCCAATTAAAAGCAATCTTTGGTGGATTATCCATCGAATCAATCCCAATGTGTGTAATTTTTCTCTCCTTCGATTGTTTTTCTAATTTGACTACAATTTACGTTTTTTTTTTAAGTTTATCTGACCATTGGATCAGGTCACGTGTTAATCGAATGGGCCATTTTCATGGGCGTTAATTTGGGTCAATCCATCAAGGCATAGTAAGCTAAAATCCACCCATCATGACCCTACCCTCAGACTAATCACGAGCTGCCACGTGACAGACCAGGCTAACCTAATATGTAGTGGGCCAGCCTCATGGACTACCCACCCAATTTGAATTCTGGTAGTTGGAAAGGTAATTGGCTAGTAGTTTTCGATTACAAATCGAAGTGCTCCCTCCTTCCAATTGAGACAACTTCCTCTCCAATTGGGTATTTATTGGGTGGATTAAAAAAAAATCAAAAAGTCAATATGATTGATACTGCAAGCAACCATCTGATCCATTGGATTCCGACGTCATTTTGTTCCAAAGAATACAAACAAAAAGTCAACTTCTTGGTGAGAGCTGTGAAGGGATAAAGAATACTTGCTACAATTAAGAATAAAAAATATTATAGTTTCAAATAATACATTTATAGCATAGAACAAAATACACCAAAGGATAAAGCATCCACATAGGTGACGAAAAAAAAAAAACCCCGAAAACCAAAAAAATGGCTCGCAGAGGAAACAATATTCAATATAATGGTAATACTATATTAACGTTAATGATATAATATCACCAATCAATAATAAAAATTTTAATTGAGTAAAGTCAACCTCACTTAGATAATTATTGACTTACATGAAATAAGAGTTGATAATTATTTATTTTCATGGACGAATAGGTATTGACTTATGTAGGGTTCACTTTCTTAATTATCTGTATATTATTGATTGATAATGTCATATGATAATATTGACGTTATATTACCGTTATAATGACTTGAATAGAATAATAAAAAAAATTAAAAGAAGATAATTGTGGATAGAAAATCGTAAGTAAGAGAGGTTGATAAACGAATTGTAGGAGAGAGAAGTCTAACGGATACGGGACAAAAAAATCACATGGTGACCAAAAATTCACCTAACCCTCATGCGGTCCAAATCAATTCGGATGACTTTAGGTGAAAAATTTCCCAAGCAGCCAATTGGAGACAACAAAGTATAAAGCCTAGAGTTAGATAAGACCCGAAAGTGTCAATCATGACTGAATCCGCGTTATGAGTTGGTATTTGACCCAAATAAATTTCAATCATCTAGCCCCTAATGGACCTGGACCCATCGCCGCCTCTTTTTGGTGCGCCAAACTTTTCATAATTTAATATGTCTTAGCCCCAAAGTATAAACTTCACGTTGACTTAGAACATTGTTGCACATGTTCTTCTTCCATAAAAAAAAAACACTTTTTCCTCAGAACTCCATCTCATATTTTCTTCCAAAATGTCTACAAATGATCATCATCAGCCACTGTCACCCCTCCAATGGCTATCCTTCCTCCTGTTTCTCCTCCCCGGCCTCCCTCTTACCTCCCGTGCCGATCTCGGCACCGCCGCCCGTTATCCCCCTCCCTATTTACGTGAGTATTTATATTCTACCAACACAATTGCCGTGTTGTCGAGTGGCATTTAGTGCCTGTTAAAGGTTTTTTTTTTTTTTTTTATAGATTTGTAAAGTTATATCCCAAATTTTATTCATAGGGACTCCTATGCTCTCGCGCTCGCTCTAATTTCACATCTAATCGCCCGCCTTTAACCCTTTTCAAGTAGCCAACAAAGACTGTAATTAGGCTCTTTAGCTTTAAGCAAGCATGATCTTAATAACGTTTTAAATGCAGCGACGGCCTGTTATCGGAACGATCCGACGCCGTTCCCTACGAGCAACTTGTTTGCGGCTGCAGGTGACGGAATATGGGACAATGGGGCGGCGTGTGGGAGGCAATACTTGGTGAGGTGTATCAGCGCTGCCACGCCCGGTACATGTAAGCCTGACCAGACTATTCAGATTAGGATTCTTGATTACGGCCTTGTCACGACTTCTCCGCCTTCAGTCAGCGGCACCACCATTGTTATGTCGGAGACAGCTTTTGGGTCCATTGCTAATTCTACTGCTAGCTCCATCAACATAGAGTTTCAACAGTAATTTCTCTCTCTCTCTCTTCTTTCTTTCTGGTTTTCCTTGTGTTAATACAATACGGCCATTATTATTTGTTGGAAGTTGTGCAAATTAACTGCAAATACAATGTTTTTTTTTTGTTGACGTGTTCATTGAGCAATCGTTAATTCTATTGCATTGGTTGCCACTTGTCAACTTCAACCATTGCAATCCTTAAAAGAGGTGGGCTGGGTCTAGGGGCATTATTAGAGTTTTGACTTCACCTAATCAATAAATTTAATGGTGTGTTCTCAAAGTTTATTTTAAATCTTGTATCCCAAATCACTATAGATGGTCAGATCAGTGAACCATTCAACCATTCATATTTATTTGCAATGTAAAATTAGAATAGGTTTCGAAAAATATTGCAATGTTGGTTCAACAATCTCTAACAACCCTTTTCTTAGTAGCAGGGTCCCTTCATCTCCACCCTCCCCCCCCC